GAATATGGTTGCACGTGTTTCAACTTTACAACTTTATACAGATCCATTCCCCCACGATAAATAACAGTCCAGGCTTTCCGATATCATTGACAGCTGCGTTTTCAATAAAAATGGGACTTGTAAATTTACTTGCCTTATCACTGATCCTTTGCAAAATTATTTTGTTGAAAAAATTCTGATTGTACAAAAAAGTGCTATGAAAGTAATATAAAAAAAAAATGCTGGAGTTTCTGATTGACAATATCTATGTTGATTTGGGAGACCAGATCTTCTACCAATCTATAGGAATTCCCTTGGGTACCAATTATGCCCCGTTATTAATAGACCCATTTTTGTATTAGTATAAAGCAAAATGTTTTGCAAAATATGCATGAAAAGAAGAAAACACTTGCTGTGGCCTTCAACACGACATTTTGATGTATTGATGACGTACTGTCAATTAACAATGGTAATTTCCATTCTTATGTAAATACTATATATCCTGGTGAGCTTGAAATAAAAGATACCAAGGAGTCGTACACATCTGTTTCATACCTGATATTTGGATATTTTTCTTGAAAAAGAAATTAACGGTCATCTAACAACCAAGCTCTATGATAAACGTGATAAATGGAACTCTTACTATTGTCAATTTTCCAGACTTATACAGATATATACCTACATCACCTGCATATTGAATTTTTTTTATACCCTTGCTGATTCGATATATAAGAGGATTCTCTACATATGAACAATTTCTAAAAGGAGGTAAATTACTGACAAGCAAGTTGAAAAAACAACTATATCAACAGTCTCGTTTAAAGTCATCATTTCGTAAGTTCTATGGTCAATACTTTGACCCTGTCAGCAAACAAAATTTTTCATTGAGTCAAATTTTGGATGACGTTTTTCATACCAATTGTAAAATCATTGTTTATACACTGAATTAACGACGGACATTTCCGCTATTTCCCGATCATGAAAAAGAGCACACAGCGAGTGTGAATGGTTGGCAGGGGATGCTCACTCGACCATGGCACCCGATCCTACTTTGGTATTTGGAGGTCCTTAAGTGATATGCTTCTATTTTGTAGAGAGAGAGAGAGAGAGAGAGAATTTGGCTGACATGTATCCATCTGAATTGCATGGAAGAAAATATGAGAGTTACGCACCCACAAGATCCAATGATATAATGCTTATGTTATGAAAATAAATACTGTAAATGTACTATATTTAGCTTGTGTGATATTTGGCGGAAATTGATTTTTGAACAAGTGAGCGTAGATTTGATTTCTCAATGTTGTTTTTTATGAATATATGCGCAAGACATTTAGCGTTGTACTTGAATTTGCGGATGTTTCTTTCCGCCAAAAGCGCTAAATACATAGCCAAATGTAATACGTTTACAGTATGTTGCATTCAATCACTATTGAAATAGTATATTTTGTGTTTCTTTGATCTAGTGCAAAGAAACGATTTAAAGGTCACAAGGCAAAGAATGTCAGGCATAACGACTTTCTTATCAAAACGGTGAGATTGGGACTTTCTGTTAAAATGCACGGTAAGAAAAAAACATATGTTCATTCTTACTCACATAAGTAAACCGTTCAGTTTGTTATAGTTAGTTCGAAATTCTTGGACTTTTATCCGTTTACATAGGGTGCAAATTTTGAAAATTTTCGATAGTACCAGCGAGTTAAAAGTGGAATAAGGTTTTTGATCGTTTGTTACAGGTAATTAAATCGTAGATACGTATGTGAATTATTAAATGTATAAATATGTAAGTAAAATTTTAGAATAATATTAAAAAATAAGATCTATGACGTCTGTTCTGACTTTTGCCGCCCTGAATCTTACAATATCCTACTCTTAATATATAATTGACCTAATTGACATAGGCATATCATAGACAGTTTGATGTATTTAATAGTAAAAATATTTATATTAAAGTACTAATGCCTATCATGTCTTAATATACATGTATTTCGGACAGTTTTATAGATTACACATATCATACATATGCTGAAAAAATTCACTGGAAAACTGCCAAAACAAATATTTTCAGCTACTGATTTATTTATACTTTTCATAAAATATATTTTCATTAAAATGAGAAATGGTCATTAATTTTATTCCATATCAGCAAATTTCATCAAAGTTGCTCAATTTTGACTGACGTTTTTATACTAATAGTTAAACAATAAATTACACACTGAATTGTTGACGCGTTGTGGCAAGGCACTTTGAAAAAATTACGCACTTTGAAAATTTTATTCAAAGTGCGTTAAAATTGGGACAAAATCAACGTACTTTGAAATTTTTTTTCAAAGCGCGTTTAGAGTGTACATAAACATTTTTTACCACGGGGACTTATTACGCACTTTGGAAAAAAAATGTATTTAACAAAAAATTTTAAACTTAGCATTTAGTAATCTAGAGAATCAATTTGTACATGTAATAATTATATCTTTCGAAAACCTTTTTAATTTACATATACTCATTTAACCTCATTGAGAACAAGGAGAAGGCGAGTAGAAAGTCTCTCAGCCAAACTTTTTTTTCTTATACAGTACATAGCCGTCGGTAGCAAATTGAAAGTGACCCCCCCCCTTTCCCTCCCCAAGGTAAGCCCAATTTCCAATGCCTATAATATGTATATCTTTGCAAAACATTGTGTGCCTAAGCCCCCTCCTTCCCAGTACAGATCCCTAATATGTTACACACAAATATCTGTATTTGCATAACTGGTATGACGTTGAAAACTCAATAAATTTAGTTTACATAAAATGCATGTAAACTGGAAAAAATAAACAGTAAAACATTTACGAGAGATTGATGTTTCAAAGCATAGAAAAATCAAAATTGCTCACTTTCACATCATGAAGTAACCTCATCACCGAAGAGTTATCAAAAAGATTCAATTATTTATCATACATGTACCTACGATTTGCAAGAATATTGACCAAGCCATACACATTTTTTCAAAGTGCGTTAATATGGTCGATATTAACGCACTTTGAGAAGAAATTTTATTTTTTCAAAGTGCGTAATTTTTCAAAGTGCGTTGTAACAACGCGTATTTCCTTTATTTCCCGATCATGACAAAGAGCACACGTTAGGTGTGACCGATCACTCGCCCATGGCACCTTATCCTACCTCTGACGTCTTAGAGGTCCATTTTTCCTCTGTTTCAAAATTTGCATTATTAAATGATTTTTGGGCTCGAATTCTATTCTTAATCTCGGTATATTTTATCAAATAAGTTCTTTGCCAAAACGTAGCTGTTGCATATGACTTTTGTTTACAGGTGTATATATGTTAGATAAGTTCTCTACTATGATGGTAATGTTTTTGATGATTGGCAACGTGCAAGGATTTCTCACAGACCCCAACACACAAGGTGAGTGTATCTAAGATTTAGTTTTACATATTCTGTTCATGTTTATCTTTTCTGAAGTACGAATACTAAATATATTCGAACAAAATTTACCGAGCAGACATTAAATACTTTGATCAATATATTGAGGATATAAACTACAAGACAGCTAATTTTAAAGTTTTCTAAACAAAATGCATTTTTAAGTATATTTAAACTTCAGTACAAGTGTATAAAAAATAAAAGTGTTAAATAAATACAGGCGTTCAAAACATTGTGTACATTTTTTTAAACTATATTCATTTGACGTTCGAGATAGATGACTTCATGGTGGTTTTCTTTTCAATTTGAAGGATATTAAGCTGAAATGAATAGAAAATTAAAGTTAATACTAGAGTAGAATTTTACGGTGTGCTGTTGCAAAAATATTACAGAACACAATAAGAGGCACTTGTATACCAGCCCCATGTAATGCTTATATAATAAATTATCTGTACACTGTAGCTGTTGGTCCACTATGTTATTCCTGTTCACATGTCGCACACCAGAGAGACTGTACACGTATTGTCCAATGCGGCCCTCATGAGGTGAATTGTTATATACATTTTTCCCCCAAGAAAATTTTGCTGAATATTTCTTGCAAATCTTTGAAAAAATTTGAACCACAAACTAAATAATTTATTGTTTAACGATGTAAAAAAAAAAGAATTCTTAAAAATTGTAAAAAAAAAAAAAAAAAAAAAAAAAAAAAACAAACAAACAAACAACAAGTTTGTTTTTAACCAATAAGGAAATCAAAATGATATTTTACAAAATATTATCGAGGCATTTCCTTTCTTTTCCTAAAAGAGTATGATGCTTTCAAAATAAGCTATCATTCAAATTGAAGCTAAACAGGAAAGTCAAGTAGTTAAGCCTTTCATAAATATTAATAAGATAAGCAGTTAAAAAAAATATACATAAAACAGTTTGAAGGTACTTATTTTATATCATATCTTTTTCTGGATTGAATGAGTATAACGAACAATGTTTTAATTTATTTCTTTATTTTAGAAATGTGTCGGGAGAAAGTTTATAACTATAGATGGTCTGGAATATTTCTCATCCGGTTGTGCACCAATAGTTGTAAGTACTTTCAGTACTTTGATGATAATGCTAATTTTCCTATCTGCAATAAAAGTTTTGCGTATAACACATATAAATCTCTATGAGTTATGTAAATTAATGAAAATTCCGTCTTTGTTCTCAATGAATATTTTAAAAGAAAAAAGATAACTTCCTCCTAACATTACTATTTAAATTGCTAACTACAATAATCCTTCAACAGATATTTTCCACCAATAATTGCTGAAAAATAAAGATTGGAAAGTCGGGTATACTGATTTATCAAATGAAAATAAAATACTAATAAATAGTATTCAAAATTAATAAACTGAAGTATGTTTTTCCATTAGAATTATGCTTATACTTAATATGACAGAAAATCGCTTTAATGAACATAATGAGGATAAGAATTCCTGTGCACTATGATTACAATTGTCAATGAAATAGGTCTACACATGTCGTACAAGACCTTTTTTTCCAATCAAAATATGATTTTTAATATAATTACCTGAATTTCACTTGATGCAAGTAAAAACTGTTTATGTGCAAGGATTGTAGAGCAAATCGGTCTATAAAGCAAGACAAATCGAACACTCTGTCGAGGAGCGGTCCTGTCATAGCGGGGAATGGTGTTATAAAGACATGTGATCAGTGTTGTGATGGTAACTACTGTAATCTTCAGCTTTGCGATAATCCAATACGTAAGTCAACTTTACTTGATCGATTGATCGATTGTATATTGTTAAACATCCCTCTAGAGAATTTTTTACCCATATTGAGACGCAACGACTTGCCGCTGGAGAGCTGCAAATTTTATTCTATACTCGGCACTCAGGGCCATTGAGCAGGGAGGGATCTTTTTCGTGCCAGCACCTACTGCAACACGGGACCTCGGTTAATACGATTTACCGGTCTCCAGGTCCACAGTGGAATTCGAACCCGCGATATAGAACAGGATATAAACTACAAGACAGCTAATTTTAAAGTTTTCTAAACAAAATGCATTTTTAAGTATATTTAAACTTCAGTACAAGTGTATAAAAAATAAAAGTGTTAAATAAATACAGGCGTTCAAAACATTGTGTACATTTTTTTAAACTATATTCATTTGACGTTCGAGATAGATGACTTCATGGTGGTTTTCTTTTCAATTTGAAGGATATTAAGCTGAAATGAATAGAAAATTAAAGTTAATACTAGAGTAGAATTTTACGGTGTGCTGTTGCAAAAATATCACAGAACACAATAAGAGGCACTTGTATACCAGCCCCATGTAATGCTTATATAATAAATTATCTGTACACTGTAGCTGTTGGTCCACTATGTTATTCCTGTTCACATGTCGCACACCAGAGAGACTGTACACGTATTGTCCAATGCGGCCCTCATGAGGTGAATTGTTATATACATTTTTCCCTCAAGAAAATTTTGCTGAATATTTCTTGCAAATCTTTGAAAAAATTTGAACCACAAACTAAATAATTTATTGTTTAACGATGTAAAAAAAAAAGAACTCTTAAAAATTGTAAAAAAAAAAAAAAAAAAAAAAAAAAAAAAAAAACAAACAAACAAAAAGTTTGTTTTTAACCAATAAGGAAATCAAAATGATATTTTACAAAATATTATCGAGGCATTTCCTTTCTTTTCCTAAAAGAGTATGATGCTTTCAAAATAAGCTATCATTCAAATTGAAGCTAAACAGGAAAGTCAAGTAGTTAAGCCTTTCATAAATATTAATAAGATAAGCAGTTAAAAAAAATATACATAAAACAGTTTGAAGGTACTTATTTTATATCATATCTTTTTCTGGATTGAATGAGTATAACGAACAATGTTTTAATTTATTTCTTTATTTTAGAAATGTGTCGGGAGAAAGTTTATAACTATAGATGGTCTGGAATATTTCTCATCCGGTTGTGCACCAATAGTTGTAAGTACTTTCAGTACTTTGATGATAATGCTAATTTTCCTATCTGCAATAAAAGTTTTGCGTATAACACATATAAATCTCTATCGAGTTATCAAAACTAATGAAAATTCCGTCTTTGTCCACAATGAATATTTTGAAAGAAATCAGATTATCTCTTCCTAACCGAAAATTACAATCTAAATTGCTTGCTACAATAATCCTTCAACAGATATTTTCCATTGATAATTGATAAAAAGATAAGGCTGGAAAGTCAGGTATACATGTTTTTCACAAAAGGAGAAAATACTGATAAATGGTATTCAAAATTAATACATGGATGTATGCTTTCCCGTAAGAATTCCGCTTATATTAATACAATTTATACCTAAGAAAACTGTTGCATGACAAAGAACCTATTTTAATGGAAATGATAAGGGTAAGAATTCCTGTGCAATGTCATAACTGTCAACAACATACTATGTCTGTATCGATGCAATGATAACCTTCCGACTACACGTATAGTACAAGATCTTTTTTACAATCAAAATATGATTTTCAATATAATAACTTGAACTACTCCTGATGCAATTAAATAATGTTCACGTTCAAGGATTGTGGATTACATCGGTCTTTCAAGCAGGAAAATTCGAACACCCTGTCTAGGAGCGGTCCTGTCATAGTGGGGGATGGTGTAATAAAGACATGTGATCAGTGTTGTGATGGTGACTTCTGTAATCTTCAGCTTTGTGATAATCCAATAAGTAAGTCAGCTTTTATCAGTATAAGTCGGAAATTGAAATAGTAATCTTGGTAAATTCCATATGCACGTGGACGTTGTAAAAATCATATAAGGAAGTTGTTTTCTTCTTGAAAAATTATGCAAAAAGACAGTGACATTAATGTTGTACAGAAAGCAAAACTGTTTAGGAAGCAGGTAGTTGTTGAATTTGTTGTAATTCATAACAGCTTTGAAAGAATAAGACCCTTCAAATAACTATTTTTAATGCTGTATTGTTAAGAATCGACTTGTAGGAGTCATATTCAACTTGTAGGATTAAAACATCGGTGTCTCCGTTGTGATGACGTCATTATTCCAGAAGATTGCAATATCTCTCTACAATGCGATGAAGATCAAGTTAGTGTTTTCTATAGAAAGCTTTAACAAGAAATTTAGGAGCTCTCATAAATATTTCCGAATTCGATATAAAAAAAATTATAAGATATTTTAATTTGTTATTTCGAATTCACAAATATTTTTTAGATATGTCTTAATTTGGCTTCTGTAGTTTCTTTTAAATTCGACATTAAAGGTAAGAATCTACATGTAAAACAATTCAAACAAATACAATTTAAGACATTATTTCTCACCTTTTTATGCATATTTGGAAATGCATTAACAACTAAAACTACGTAGATTATATCCTTGGATATAACCAAACAAATATAATGATATTCTACAGAGGAATCAGCTATTTCTAATATTTTCTTGTCGTTTTTATAAAGATTTGCTATACGGAACACATTTATGTAAACAAGGAAAAAAGATTCAGAATGGGCTGTACAACAAAATCCGTAAGTACATAAGAACCCAAGATTTACAAAATTGTATGGATGCCCTTATTTGCTATGTTTAACGTTTTATCAAAAATGAACTAGCAATAGTGTAATTGTATTAAAAGTACACAACGCTGAATCTTTAGTGTTGTAATGTTTAATTTCAGGCAAACTTTTAGACAGCCATGCATTCCATTAGTCCATGAATGTGTTTTAACTGAATTTTCACTGTTTACAAATGTGATATAGATATTTATTATAACACACCGTCTTAAATACTGCAAGTGTTATACATTATATTTGTTATATTACCCCGTAAGTTTGTTACACTGCTATTCAATGTTACCTCATTATACCGGTAACATAATTATGCATGCATAAACAATTGTAAGAGCAAGAGCCACTTCGGGCCGTATTTAGCTCTGAGAATTTCTGAAAAATCAAAACCGATCAGTTTAGGTTGCAAATGCTGTATTTATCACTTGGAGTGTTGCTGTCTGCGTATTTATTAATAATGACGTAATTTCCCATCTTAGAAATGCATTATGATGTAATAAAATGCGTCATTTTCCTCATATCCCGTAAATTCCTTTGAAAATGACCTAAAGTTGAAGCATTTTTTCAATATTTCATGTAGAGCACAACCTCTGATTCAAAATATGCAAATACATAATGAAAGCTCTGTTTGTAAAGATCAAAAAACGTGTTTTATTTTTTGGATCGTGGGCTGTGTTCATTAATGTATTCTGTTTCAGACGGAAGGCCTTATAGCGATTCTACTGTTTCTTTTTATTATTTTTTTCCCCTTTTGAAATTTCTTTTTTTGACGATTTCTCAGAGATTCGGACGGATTCTCATGAAATTTTCAGAGATGATAGAGAGTAAAAATATCTCCCAAATGCAACTTTCAATTTTTCATAATTCACTTCCGGTCGTCAGATATGTCCGATTTCCGGTTTTTTTTTTTAAGTTTTGTCCGAGTCATATCTCAGAAACGGTAAGAGATGAAGACACCAAACTTATATGAGTAATAAATCTTGATAAGTAGGCAAAACTAATTGGTTAACATTTCCACCGTCACTTCCGGTTACACAGGAAATGATCATAAATATCGAAAATTTCAATTTTTTTTCTTTTTTGAAACATTTTTGCATCACATTATAGCATCTTATTTGTAGTTTCGAAACATGTCAGTCCCACCGAAAACAAAAACGGCAAATTCCGGTTATAAGAGAAAACTGCATATTTTCAGTATTTTTCTTTCCCATAAATATTTTTTATTGATAAAGTATTTGTAATGATTTTTGGATATGTTATTGAAATTGCAAAGTCTACAGTAACCTCAAATATCTTTGTAAAATTCGCTTCCGGTCGCGTGATTCCCTGTGCTCAAAATAAGAAGTTACCATAGCTAGATCTCGTAAACGGTAAGTGATTAAGACGCCAAACTTATAAAAATGGTAGATCTTGATGAGTATGCAAAACCAGTTGGGATAAAATTGTCTGCCGTCACTTCCGGTCGTCACAGGAAGTTATCAAATAAATCGAAAAATTCAACTTTTCTTTTATGAAACTTTTTTGCATCACATTAAAGCATCTTATTTTTAATTTCAAAATATATCAGTACCACCGGAAACAAAAACGACTACGTCCGGTTATAAGAGAAAAACTACATAATTTGAGTATTTTTCTTTCCCATAAATATTTTTTATTGATAAAGTATTTGTAATGATTTTTAGATGTGTTATTCAGACTGCATATGTCTACAGTATCGTCAGATATCTTTGTAAAATTCACTTCCAGTCGCGTGATTTCCTGTCCTTAAAATGAGAAGTTATCATAGCTAGCTCGTAGATGGTAAGAGATTAAGACACCAAACCTATAGGATTGGTAGATCTTGATGAGTTGGCAAATCTATTTTGGTTACGATTGTCCATCGTCACTTCCGCTTGTCACAGAAAGTGATCAAATAAATCAAAAATTTCAACATTTTTATGGAATTTTTTTAGTATTACATTTTAGCTTCTTATTTGTAGTTTCGAAATATGTCAGTCCTACCGGAAACAAAAATGACAAATTTCCGTTATGAGAGAAAAACTGCAAAAATTGAGTATCATACTATCCCATAGATATCTTTTATGAAAATAGTATTTTGGGACATGTTATTTAGACTGTAAATGTCTAGAGTAACCTCAAATATCTTTTTTAAAATTTACTTCCGGTCACGTGATTTCATGTCCTTTAAAGAGAAGTTAACATTACGAGATCTCTGTAACAGATCAAGACACTAAACTTCTATGAATAATAAACCATGAAGATTAGGCAATCGATATAAGGTAAAATGCGTCCGTCGTCACTTTCGGTCGTCACAGGAAATGATAAAAAAAATTGAAAATGACTTTAATAAATATTATTAAGATTATAATTGTCTAAAGTAACGATGAGAATCTTGGTAAGTTACACCTCCGGCCGTTTGTTTTCCTGTAATCATTGTAAATATTATATGCCTTTTTTAACATAGATAAAAGATCATTCGTACAGACAAATAGAGGAGAACGGAAGATCGTTTTTGTTTCTGTAGCAACAAGAGTTTCAAGTATTTTAATTCTTTGCTGAAGGTAGTCAAATACGCATGTTTTCTGCAAATTTCAAGAAAATTGCAATTTCTCTAACCTGTTTTCCAATATCTGGATTCTCAAAACGAAATTTTATTATAGAAAATGAAAGCACTAAGTGTCTACTTTATTTTGATAAATGAAATGGGAAAGAGGGTGATAGTTAATTAATTGATGTATAAGTACAGGGTCATTTTATGTATAAGATGTATAATTTTTAAAAGAAACTGTATTTCTGCTGTTCTAATACTTTACAAAGTATTCAGTTACTCTGTATTGCTATTAAGTTTCTCCTTCATAAATTGTATGACAAAATGTTGTCCTACAATTATTCACTCTACTGTGATAGTAATATACAAAGAATTAAATCTATTTTCGACAGTATTATACAATTGAATGTTTCTGTACCGTTATTTTTTATATCTAACAATGTGTGCATTTCTTAATCAGTAAATTTTATTTGAGTGAAATTACATGAACTTGTTATTGTTAAAGTTTGTTGCATTGTATACGTAATTACAGAATCTTTTATCAAATTTAGGAAACGCTGCGTATACAAGTACAGGAATGTGTAATTAAAAGTATCATAGTATGTGCAAAGAATTAATTATTGCATACTTTCGCGTGAATCACAATCTTTTTCGTTTCTATTGAGCTGATATCCATGTTAAATCTCTTAAACGACCGTATATTTGCGAAGAACTCCCAATTTTACGTAATTAAGCTACAAAACTTACTCGCTAAAAATAAGGCATCTACAGTACTGATCATTTAATTACAGGGATGTGTTGTCGCCACTCCCTCTGGAGCTCCGGTGACAGTTCTTGGAAAACGAAGCAACGAGATACCGTTCTTACATCGATATAGAAAGGCCTTACCTGCAGATCACAATTATTGCGCCAAATGCTGTACAGGAGAAAACTGTAATCGTGACCTCTGTACAGCTAGACCAGGTTAGATGTGTAACATGTAATAAAGCTTTATAAATTGGTGGTTACTTATATGGCCATTTAGTGGATATGATATATCTATTTTATTTTTGCAACTTTAAGGCACTTGTTAGTAAATTGATCATAGACATTCTCGGAATTACTAACCAACATTCCCGGTAGCTCAGGCGGTAGCTCGCTTCATGATGGAAATATGTAACTGATTTTGTTGCGGGTCCTTCGACTGAGACTTTAAAAACTCGGTGCTGACATGATAATGACCCCTCACTGCTCCAGTGGCCCTGACTGCCGAGTAAAAGTTGCATTCTGTAGTCCTTCGCTGGTATAAAGTGTCGATCCTATATAAATGAAACAATTTCAAATGCGTCGTAAAACCTCATACAATCAATCAAACAATCAGAATTGCTACCCCATTGTTACCCAAGTTTAACATTGCCAGGTCATTTTTACATTTTCATTTCAGAAAAAAAGCTTACACTTTTGATTTTACAAAAGTAATTCAACAACCTACTAGAATTACAAACACATCATATACACTCATTGACCATGTTTACACTAATTTACCTGAAAACATATGTGAAATTCAAGTGCCCCCCCCCCCCCCCCCGCATTGCTTTGTCAGACCACTACCCAGTGTACTTCACAAGAAAAACAAATAAATACTTAAGGAGAACACAATGAGAAAACATACAGATGCTTTAAAACCTTCAACGAGCACAATTCCCTAAATGATTTATATAATGGTAATTTTACAACACTGGAAAGCATATGTGATCCAAATAAGATTTTGAGAATTTTTTTTATCCTTTTAATAAAGTACTGACAAACATGCAACGATTAAAACTAAGCGAGTAGAAAATAATCGCCCTCAATGGTTAACACCAGTAATCATAAGGTGCAACATATGCGTGACAGTTTTCATCAAAATGGTGACTTTCAAAATTTCCGAATCTGGAGAAACAAGGCCACGGTACTTATAGACAGCGCAAAGATCAACTATAAAGCAAAGCAAAAATCCACAAGAAATGTGGAAGACATTGAATAAACTAGCATCAAAATCACATAATTTTGTACCAATGTCTATATCTGACAATTGTAACACCACTAAGGACACGCAAGAAATTGTTGAGATTTTAAACAATCATTTCACTGGTTTATCGGAAAAGCTTATCTCGAATATCGCTCGGATAGATTTTGATTACGAGAAATCAATGCAATTTACAAAAACCAAGCTTGAACATGGTAATAAATTTAGCATTCCCCTTATACATCAAAAGGACCTGTTAGCTTCATTAAACAAACTTGATGTATATAAATCGGTTGGTATCGATACCATACGTCCACGCCTACTGAAACATGCTGCACCAGCCATATACAAATCTATCACTCATTTAATCAATGTGAGTATTTCTACAGGGATATTTCTAAATGAATTGAAATTTGCGAAGGTAACACCAATATACAAGGAAGGAGATAGACTTGATCCTGGGAATTATAGGTCAGAATCTATCCTCCCAATTTTTGTCGAAATTAATTATACCCCCCACTTGAAAAGTGGGAGGGTATATAGTAATCGGTATTTCCGTCCGTCCGTCCGTCCGTCCGTCTGTTACGCTTTGGGGTACCCATCTCTTATCCGCAACTCCTCTCATTCCACTGAAGGAAATTTAATGAAACTTTCACAGATTCTTAATTACATATTGCCATTGTGCACCTCCTATTTTACTTTTTGATCTGACATATATTTTGGATTTTCCAGAGCAAAACATGGACACTGCCATTATATTCATATGGAAGGCGGGGGGGTATCAGTTAGTGAGCTCATTGCTCACAGTACCTCTAGCTGAAAAACATGTTGCTAATCATATCCGTAAATTCTTATCAGATTTCGATTTACTTTGCAAATCACAATCAGGTTTCAGAGAATCTCACTCATACAAAACTGCCCTTACTAAATTTATTGATGAATGGTTACAAGCAATGGATTCTGGTGAACTTGTCGGTATAACCTTTCTTGATTTCAGCAAGGCTTTTGATAAGGTGAATCATGATACTTTGATTAAAACCCTACAATTTTTACCCCAAAGCAATACAATGGTTTGACTCATATTTAAGCTGTAGATTTCAGAGTGTTCAACTTGGAAATTTAAAATCTAAAAAAAAAAAAACAAATAGTCACAGCGGGAGTGCCACAGAAATCAATTTTAGGTCCACTTCTTTTCTTATTTTACATCAATGATCTCCCATTATTTATAGAGAAATGAAGCACTGACTTATTTGTGGATGACGCCACACTTCACTTTTCTGACAGTAATGTTTCTTACATTCAAAATATGATATCTTCGGCTATAAGTAATATAGAAAGATGGTGTTCTCAGAATCAGATGATTTTGAACACTAGTAAAACAAATTGCATGATGAGAAGCACACATCCGAGACGATCAAAATTGACGGACCAAATTCTAAATTTACGAATTTCAGATCATTTTCTTGAGAGTGTCACACATGAAAAATAACTTGGAATTCATACGAGGGGTGATCAAAAAGTTCGCAAACTAATTGAATAACTTCCATACAAGAAACAATATATGGTTTTAATGTTGATTATATTTTAAATTAATCCTCCCCGATTTTAATGCACATCAACCACCGTTCTGCGCATGCGCGAATCACGTGATATTGGCGGTCACGTGACCCCCTCCATAGCGTTCTGTCACAAAAGTTAAAAGATTTTTCCGAGTTTTATATTTCTTTCCATGTGAGTTAATTTTTTATGACAAGAACAGTTAATTTGTCAGAAATGGTCATATCTCGGCAACAGAATGGGTGGATAATAACATCCTTTCCAAAAATAAGCCTGGCGACCATTAAACACAAATCTTCCGTCTCAGGAGAGACCTTTATTCAAGGTGGATAGAGAATGGGTGCATCCTTTTTATCATATCTAATATGTTTAAAATCAAAAGTAAACGATATCTTAGGTATTTAATACTTATATCATTGTTCAAATATTCAACTATTTTTCAAAGTGCTAATTGGAGGTCTTTGATAGCAAATTGCTTAATTAAAAATACATATCTTTTCAAACTTGCTTTCACTGGGCAAGATGACAAGTATCATTTTTAACCATCAGCCTTCCTTCACTAAAACGATTAATCCAATCATTAATTGAATTTATAGGAACTCATTTATCTCAATAAACTGTGTACAAATTATTATATGATACTGTAGAGGGATTTCTAAGATGTTACAATAAACTGTACAGTCGTTTGTTGAACGAGTTTTTTCGTCACAAGTGACCTCAATAGTGACGTCATTTTCATATTGTGACGTCACAAATAAGGAGAGAAACTTTATTCGGCATATGCTTTTTATAGACCTTGTGTATGGCTATGTGTATACCGAATTTCATTCTAATCTGAATTGTGGTTTTGTAGATATAGAGATAGTTTGCGAACTTTTTGATCACCCCTCGTATCTATAGTTCACTTAACTTTAATACACATATCGATGCTGTTTGTAAATCTGTATCTGGAAAGAGATCTGTATCACGAAGAATGAAGAAATATCTTCCATGAAATACAAAAAAAAATATTCTGTAATGCTTATATACTGCCATCAATTGAATACTGTTTAACAATTTGGGGTAATGCATCAGCATTTAGCCTCGAGAGGATTCATAATTTACAGGAAACGAGCAGAACGCTGTATCTTAGATGCTGCTTATGAAACGCCATCAAAACCCCTATTTAAAATACTTTATTGCTCTCAGTACATGAGCAATTGATTGTAAATAAGTTATTGTATGAAACGCTGTACTGTGGAAGTCCGTATTACCTGTTTGAAATGTTCAATTACCAATCATTCAAGTCATACAATCTAAGATCTGAATCTAACTTTGACTTTTGTGTTCCAAAGCACAAAACCAAAAATTTAAAATTCTTTTCAATATTCGGATGCAGTATTTTGGAACAATTTACCTTTAAATGTAAGAATATCTCCATCACTTCAAAGATGTAAAATCAGGTCAAGAAAATTTATAATAGACCAACGTTCAATTTGAATTCTTATATACATGTAATTGTATTTCTGCGACTGTATTGATAATAAAATGATGCATGTATTATTATTGTATGATGTGTCATATACATGTATAACATTGTTGAATGTACTATTTATCATTGTGTATAATATATGAATTTTTATAGAGGGTCTCAAGGAAGAATAGTGCTCGCACTAATTGAGTCACCCTCTTTAAATAAAGTATTATTATTATTATTATTATTATTATTAACATGGAGAATTTAAAAAAAAATGCGTAATCAATTCAACTTTATTTCTGTAAGACAAAAACCTGTAATTACATCATTAGTCATAATTTTTCTTCTTACATTAATCACGTTCAATGAATTATATATGTAGGTATAATATTATGTTGAAGTATATGTAAGTATTTCATGCGCGCAAGATCTTTTAACGGTCAAATACTGAAATAAACCAACGCTATTAATGGCATTCATACCGGTGTTACATATATGATTGTTAAATATCATGAGTCGAACATCTGCCATATATGATCGGATAATCGCATATAATATAGTCAAAGGAATGTTGACACACTTCTTTTAATAAAAAAAAATGTGTTTGTGAAACACTGATGCCCCATTAAGGCAACATAATGAAGATTAAACTTTTCTTAAATGCAAATTTTATATATTGGTACCACAAGAAGGGTCTCCTAACTAGAAATTCAATTGTGAAATTTGAAACCCTATCACCATATGTTTCCAAGTTATGGCCAGGTTTAGGTTTTTTCATAAGTAAATAAATTTTCAAGATTAAGATCAGAAGGTCGAGGTTATTTGTCTTCAATGAAAGGTCTCCCAAAAAAGAGTACATATTTGAAGTATGGAAGCCCTATCCCTAACCTTTAAAACATGGCCAAGGTTAAAAAGATTTTAAAAGTAGGTCAAACTCAAAGATCAAGGTCAGAAGTTATTGGTATTCAATAAAAGGTCTTGTCACAAGGATTACACATGTGAAGTATGGAAGTCCTGGTCCTTACCAATCAGTTGTTATTGCCAAGGTAAATGTTTTTTTCGTAAGTTCAGTAATCTCAAGGTCAAGTAATTAGTATCCAATAAAAGGGCTTGCCACAAAATATAAATATATATATGTAGAATGGAAGTCATATATCTAACTTTTCAAAAGTTATTGCCAAGGTTAAATTTTTACATAAGTACGTAAATCTCCAACCCTCTAATTCCAAGGCCAGCAGGTCAATTTGGTGGTACCTAAAGAAAGGTCTTGGCACAAGGAATAAACATACTGAATATGGAAGTTATAGCTCCACTAAATCAAAAGTTATGGGCAAGGTTAATTTTTTTTCGGACAAACAAACAGCTAGACAGACAGACAGAAAGACAGACTGACAGACGGACGGACACAACAAAAACGATATACCTCCAAAACACCGTTTACGGGAGCATAAAATGTTCGCCACTACGTTATCTTTCAGAATTGTATATATCTCACACATCACGTCAATATGCAGTTGTGCTTTTAGTTCCCATTATCTGAAACTCCTTTTTAAAATCGATTATATGTATAAAAATCACAAAGGGTTTAGAATACCAAGGCTTGTCTAAAAGAAATTGTGAAAAGATTCATTTTTAGCCACATTCCCTGAAAGAATTGATAAACTTTTATACCTATTACATAATAAAGATTACAGATCATTTGTACCTTAATTTTTATCGGAGAAAATATTCTTGTTGGAATTGTTAATGTTTTCTTATCAGGTATAAATCAATATCTTTAATAGAAAATGGAGCATCACATATACATGTAAATGTTTGCCTCTGAAAATAGGCTTTAATTATGTTAATAATTTTTGGTTCCACTCATTGTCTATGCGAAATCGGACTCTACTCATCATTTACCTATTACGAAAAGTTTAACCTAGGCAAAAATTTGAAATGTCCAAATTATAGCAGCTTTACTTATTATCAAATGCAGGAACAATTCCATATATTTCTTTTTATATTTGTTGTTGTTTATTGTACAATTTTCCCACCATGCAAAATAAGTTTTAGATAATATAACATATTTAACAAGCATTTAAATTTCACGTAACGTTTCTGTTCAAATAATTTTTAAAGCTGCATATATTATTAGATCTCCTCTGAAAAAGATATTTATTTATTTAGTTATTAACCAGTATCAATTGGTAGCACCACCTCCATTGGTACCCTGCAAGGACTATGACGAGACATCCTGCAGGAGTGGTTTGGTGGATAGTAATTTTTGCCAGGATCAAGTAAACAAAAGGCTGTTTTGTCCAAAGACTTGTAGTACCTTTGGTACGTATAATCATTGTATCAATAGGGTAAAGTATCGGACAAGGAACTATTTATTCATACCTGTACTAATCAGAGAAAACTTTAGAAAATTGTTTTTAAGGGGGCCGACTATGGTTTTATTGCGTGAAAACTACAATAGCAAAACTCTTCATTTTTATACCATATATATAACTGACATTAACTTTAGTGTACATGCAAAGTTTTGGCGAAATCTACCATCCAGATTTTTTTAAGGGACCATCTCAAATTACAGGTACATTTACTGTAGGATTATATAGGAAAGTGCCAATTTTTAGCACTTTAAAGCAAATTACTACGATAGCGTTCTTGTTCAAACTATAATATATGATGAGTAATACTATCTTGTACATTAAGTGTAAGAAACACAAAATTTTGCTGTCTTGTTGCCAGAGGGGGGCATCTCAAAAGGCCAAAAATTAACGAATTTTCCTGTTATTATAGAGTGCTACATAATATGACTCATGCATAGGATTTATACAAAAAATAAAAAAAAATATGATGCAGAGATTATCAAATTCCTATGCAGTAAATTTCAAGAGCTTATGTTTATTGTTTAATACCATCTTTATTGTCCCCCGCTTGAAAAGTGGGGGATATTAATTTGGGTCTGTCCGTCCGTCCGTCTTTCTGTCTGTCTGTAACGCTTTCGTTTCCACACGATATCTCAAAAACCCTTTGAGCTTTTGCAATGAAATTTTGCATAGCAACTCCCTATGGACTAGAGAAGACCCCTATTGATTTTGAGGTGAAAAGGTCAAAGGTCAAGGTCATAAATTTGCAAATTCTCTCTGTTATAACACTTTTGTTTCCGCACGGTATCTCGAGAACCCTTTAAACTTTTGTAATGAAATTTTACATAGCAACTCCCTGTGGCTTAAGGAAGACTCCTATTGATTTTGAGGTCAAAAGGTCAAAGTTCAAGGTCATAAATTTCTGTTTGAGTGTAATACTATCGTTTTCGGGCGATATTTCAAGAGAATTTTGAGCTTTTGCACTGTAATTTTATATAATAAGTCCCTAGGGCCTCTCTCACCCCTCTCAAAGTGTCCCGTCTCGTTTGTTTTATTAGTATTTATAGTATTACATGTCGCTAATTTTAGCACAGGGGCATGAAGGAGAGTAATTACGTATAAAACAGGTTCTCGGCGGACTTTATATTCTTATTACATCTATTAGAACTGTTTAATAAAGGTTGAATTAGACACCATGCATTGTGTAAAAATTTGACAATATATCGAACGTGAATACATTGGCGGATCCAGGGGGGCGGGGGGGGGGGGGTTCCGGGGGTTGGAACCCCCCTTTATTTTTTGCCAAGTGGAGAAAGAGAGAGAAAGAAGGGGATAAAACGTTTCCCGAGAATAAATATATTTGTACTTCTAACTTAAATACGTATTGAAAAGATAGATTCTCACACATTTAGTTTTTCCATTCACTTTTACTTCACTATTACTTTTTATGAGTGAATGGTAGAAAATATTCTATTTATTTTTATATATCTTCTATATGATATGTAACATGCGAGGTTAAATTTGATATTAGATTCCCGCGATCTTAATTTGGCTGTGTTGGCTATATACAAGAAGGTGCCGTTTTTTTCAACTAAATCTTATGAAGGAACTAAAATTAAATTTAATGGTCTAGTGGTATGTCTCTCGCTTCACATGTGAGAGGACCAGGGTTCGTATCCCGGAAATTCCAATTCATTTTTTTTCCCGAAATACTTTTTTTCTACTAAATGATAGTATTCAGCATGGGAAATGAAAAATTTATGAGGTCTGGCTTGTACAAACTCATAAAATCATTACATTGTGATAAATATTCCATATAAAAAGAATCTTCTACACACATAATAAAGAATAATCAATCAAACCTTTATATCCATATTGGCATATTTTATTTGCTTCAGTATACATTTAATAATTCTACAAATTCAGTCAAGGGGATCCGAACCCCCCCCCCCTCCACCCCCTCCCCCCGAACTGCGCATAGTTTACTTTTTCCCTAAGCGGGGGACACAAATTCTCTGAATTAGCTTGTTACCCCTTTCTTTAAGAGCTTCAGCTTATCAGAACGTCAAAAACGCACTATAACGACGTCAACCTACCTATCAGCTGCAATATCGGTTAAAAATTTAGTTATATAAAATTGCATTAACATTTTTAATACTGTAATTGCTTAATTTGGTTAATTTTATTAATCAAGTAAAAAAATGTTGCTTTAAAACAGTAAATACACTTCATTTTACTATGATGTGCGAAATATTGCGCAATGAAAACTAGAGCCGGCCCCCGTGTTATAAACTTTTCCTAGAATTATGAATATTTAGTCAGACATACTGTCTGAACTGAATGCCCTTCATGTCAATTTATATATAGAACTTAATTTTTTCTCTCTTTTCATATATTTCATAAAAATGACATTTTCCCTCTTCTAATCATGTTTCTCACTTTTATATATGTTCCGAACTTCATATTTAAGGAATCTTTGTCACATTTATTTGGTATGCCAGGCCATTAATAATAGTTAGAACGTGGAATAATTCGCAAAAGGCTTTGCATGACTAATGATCCTCTTCAAACCCTCGTTGATTCCCTGGTATACCCAACAAACAAGATAGTAATTTTTGATATGAGATAATATTGTAAATATCAATTTTGAAAAATGTTTATACAGTTAAAATACACGAGGCCTTTCATGTCAATCTGAATAATAAACACCCACTGTCGTCAAACACAAAGATGTCCGCAGGAGATTGACATGCGTACATGTAACAGGCACTTGATCTTTCAATGGGCAACATTTACATTATTTTTTATGATCAAGAAATCAACTCATGTAACTTTCAAAGAATTACAGGGAATGCATTCAGAAATATAAAAAATTGATATGCATACCAATGTAAAAGGTAATCTTAAAGATATGATATAAAGTATTATTAAAATAAAATGCATGTATAAACCTTTAAAGAAGGATATGGAGATAACTAAAAGTATTCAATATCAAAGTCCATAAAACAATACAAAATAGGAGCAGTGAAAAACACGGACCTCCGAAACATCAGAGGTGGGATCAGGTGCCATGGAGGAGTGAGCATCCCCTTCTGATTGGTCACACCCGAGGTGTGATCCTTGTCATGATTGGGAAATAACCGAAACATCCGTCGTCAATTCAGTGTATAAAAATTGGACTAACAATTAATATGAAAAACGTCAGTCAGCATTTGTCTCAATGATAAATTGTAATTGCTGACAAGGTCATTGTATCGACCATAGGATTTACGAAATGATGACTTTAAAGGAGACTGTTGATATTCTTGTTTCATCAACTTGCTTCTCAAAAATTTTGCCTCGTTTTAGAAATTGTTCATACGTAGAGCATGCTCTTGCGTATCGAATCAATTGAGATATATACACTCCGTATGCAGGTGATGAAGGTATATTGCTGCATAAGTAAGAGAAGTTGACGAAAGAAAAGTTAATGTCATCACGTTTATTATATAGCTGGGTTGTTAGATTACCATTAACGTCTTTTTCAAGTAAAATATCCAAGTGTGAAATAGATGTGTCAGACTCTGTGGTATCTGTTAATCTCAAGCTCACTGGGATATATCGAATCGACGTAGGAATGAAAATGACCATTGTTAATTGACAATACCTCGTCGATATATCTAAATGTCGAGTTAAAGGCCACAACAAGTGTTTTCTTCTTTTCATGCATACGATTTTACACAAATTCTGCTTCATATGAAAGATCTTTTTTTTAAATTTAGTTCTATTTCAGTTGAGGGTGGAATGACGCAGCCTGTTACAACAACAATGAGCATCACAGGTATTGCTTTCTTGGTTTTTTCTACACAAAAGCAAGCATTTACAATTACAAGTATTTTTTCTTTGAAACAAAAGGAAGAAAAACCTTCATATTTATCACTTTAACTTCAGAGATCATAAATTAACCGAGGTCACGTGTAAGGGTTGGTAAGATAAATGTTGAGTGTCGGGGTTGGCACAGTAAAGACCCCTTGATGCCTATTACATACTGTGGCTGCAACGTTATTGCGGACAACTTACACTAATGATTCTGCATGATTAACGAAAGATTAAGCCTGTTACAGGAACAATCCTTCAGGCACACGATCTACACGTTACACAGTATATGACAATTGCTAACGCAAACGCAGGATTTCTCACGCAAAATTCTTCAACATATTTAGGAACTGTTCATATTTCCACTTTTAATTTTTCTCTCTGTGATAACTCTTTGAAAGTTAGCGGAGTTAATTTCTTGATAATTCTACCGGAATTTTAATTAGGCAGGTCAGTAGGTCAGGAGCTAAGGAGACCTAACATGTATGCAAATCTCGTGCGCATTTTGAACGTCTAAATCTAAGATTTTATTTCACAATGAAATGGAAATATAAGGAATTACTGTCTAGTTTGTATAGTATGCCAGGACATCAACAATAGTGGGAAACATGGGATATGGGATAGGAAGCCCGTTATGCATAAATTAAAAAGCACACTATGGCTTAATACGTATTTTAGATTTTAAATAATTATTTGATATTACTAAATCGACTTTTTAAAAAATTAAAAAAATTTCTTTTAGATTACATGTACAAAAATCTATTTTTGAAACATTGATTTAAAAAATATATTGACCATTTTCAGTAGTAAACATAATTAACATCGGAGAAACCACAAACGATTGAGCCTGATTCCTGCATAATTTTGCACGTTACACGATCGATTACACACTAAAACGAACTACACGATTCGTTTATGAACAAGAATATTATAGCCACTGTGTATACGACACATGTGAAGACAATGGCGGCACGAAAAGGACTTTTACTGTGATCCGTCAAACCCTGGTGGAATAGATGTCTGTACAGTGTCTTTTAAAATGTCAGAACATTTCTTAGATTATTATTATTTTAAGAATCAAAGACCGACTTAAGATTTCTATAGCAAAATAAA